ATGCTTCAGTGGTCAGGCATTACTTACCTCGCATCCCCAACGCTGACCTTCGAACAGTAACGGAGAAATCTCACCGGATACCGAAAGAATTATATGAGGAACTCACAGCCGGCACATAGTCACAGCCACCGGTGTTTTATAGTCAGACACACACAAAAAAAGAGAGAATCCTGCTGCCATTTTTCTAGGTAACTCAATAAAATTCGATATTTTTTTAATGCTTTGATAAATGTGCCATGAATTTAATGCAACTTCATCGCATAATTCCAAGTTCGCTGCAAGGTTTTTCGAGTACCTCTTTGAGTTCCGAGTTCGACCGCTCCAAATGAACCAATTTTGCCTCGCTTTCATATATGCAAGCGAGGCAAAATTGGTTCATTTGGAGTTCATTTCAAGCTAAAAAATAATAGCGTTCCGCGTCAAGAACTACCAGGATTATGCTCACTCTGCGGTGTGCGTCGCTCTGAATTTGAGACGCAAGTTAAGTACTGCCCTCTCATGATGCATCGAGCTCCATCGGCGGGGTCTCTTGTCTTTATCTTGTGAAAAAACAAAACAAAAACAAATAGACCGAATTCTAAAATGCGTGCTTTTTACATACTTCATTACAGCTCTAAACGGTAATGTGTCAAATCTTGGGGGAAAAAATTACGTGTTAGTGAAGTGGCTCAGGACCCAACAGGGTCCCTATTTTGAAACTTTTGCGTTTGTTAATTCCTTGTTTTTGTTCCAGCGTAATGTGCGTGGTACACTCCTCGTATTTTTCGATGGTGCTTACAGCTAGCGTGGTAAAGACAATTTTCGAAGCCCGTGCTGATGCGTTCATCAGCACTATACACTCAACGAAGCATTTTCCCCTTTGCGATCCGATGCCAGCGTCAGAACGTTTTCATGCACAGCGGCTGTCAGCCAGTGTTGCCAATACTAAGTGTACTTTTTGTGTCTTCTGATTTGGCTTGTGATATACTGGAAACGGGCCTTTTTCGGTTGGTTTATGCGCATGCGTAGTGGTAGCAAACGTGGCTGTGCGCTATTTTGGTGGCGCTTACGGATTGTTATACCATGTGAGTTATATCGGTCATGCAAAAAATCGTGTTTTCTTTTCGGGTATCCTCCCCTTCCTGATGTTTTCTATTTTCTTAAACTTGCTCTCTCTGGCCGCTGAATGTTCTGCTCGTATTGCTCCAGTTTCTGTATTATGCTCATATTTTTAAAATATAAGAAGTAATTAAAGTAATCCATTACCAATATTTTGTAACGAAATGACATTACAAATTACTTCCGCAAAAAAGTAACGTGTCAATTACAAAATTACTCGAAAAAGTAACGGATTACTTTCCAAGTCTGCAGAAGACTCTAATCCGCTATCGTAGATTCACCGAAATGCTGAGAATTCGGTAGGTCTGAGAAATCTAACCCAGTTTGCAGCTTCCGCCACCTGTAAAGTCCTACTCGTGTTAGATTCGCGCTCTCAACCGCAGCGGAGTCAACTGCAGTTGGCGATAGACTAATGAGCTCGCGACGTCGTAGCCGTTAGGTGGCTATTTCCTGAACGCCCCTGGTCCAGAGGAACTTGAGAGCTTTCGTTCTACAAGGACATTAGCGATCGAGCTGCGTCTGTCTCTCACCGTACACTTATGTTCGCGTGTTCTGATTACTTTGATGGCTACGATTCTTTGATTGCTACAACACTTGATCACGCGGGTCCAAAGTTAGGCCTAAGCGCTCACGAGACGCAAACCAATTAAGCGGGGTTCGAGTCAGGTCCAGTTACCGGACCCAGTTGATTAGAGTAATTAGGAAGCAGCTATCAATTAAAAAGACGGCGTAATAAGCGTGGCGCCGCCTCCTTTGAACGCTCGCCTTTCTCTTTCTCGACACTCAACCGGCTGATCTCTCCGTATCGTTGGCCCCGGAAATGTTTGTTCTCGTCCCATGTTTGAGAAAAAGAAAAATGTCTTCGGTTGGGTCGCAGGCCTCGGGAAGAGCCGCGACACGCTTATCGGCCAGTGCGTGCTCGTCGCCGCCGGCAGGCGCGACAAAAATCCGCGTGTTGGGCAAGACGCTCTGGGAGGGCTCGCCGTCGAGCGGCCCTGCATGGGCGAGCGATCGCGTGCGCGAACCACTCCAGACACCCGGTGTGTAGCGGCAAGACGCCGGGGGAAAAGTCATTCGCATTCATTTCTTCCTGGCTGCCCGGCGTCGGCGCAGCTCCGAGAGGAGACGCCGGCCGCGCCAGAACAAGTGGAACAACAACTTCCGCTTGCTAATGGGCCGCAAGCGACGACAGCGCCACCGCAGAGCGCCAAGACGGCTGGGCTTCCGCTTCGTGCTCGGGCGCGATTAATCTCGCCACCAGGGATGATGCCTCCTCGACTTCATCATCGCTAACGACGTTATTATCTTTTGCGCGCAGGAAGCCGGTTCGCACGAGGTCCCTTTGTATTGTGTATAAACAGCGCGCATACATACACTTGTTCCGAGTGTGTAATGCGTCGAGGTGTCTGTTTGTGTGCGAATGTAACTCGATGCAGCGAAGGACAAAGTGCGAAGGCGCTGCGTGCGCAGCCAGAGCTCGCTCTGCACCAGCTGTGCGTGAGGAAAGCTGCGCTGAAGCGCCAGAGGGGGCCTTGAAACGTTTCTTAGAACCTTCGATGGCGAGAAGGAGGGCGAGATAGACACGTGCCGAAATTCATTGGCTTCAAAGGACTGCTCAAGTGCGCGTGGTTGTAGTCCCCTCAATCGTCGGTAGCTTTGAGCCCTCATTCAACACCCAACAATGCGCTGAGACGGAACGTGTACATCAGTGATGAAACAGGAGCCCATTTTGAGCTCGACAACACAAACGGAGAGCACTTTACCGGCTAGGCTACTTCGCTATATAAGCCCGCCGTGCTCATCGGCGCCATCAAACGGCCATAGAGTTGCAAAAGCTCCCGAGTCAACGACGCTCAGCGCGAAAGAGAAAACGATCCTGGGCCCAAAAAGCGCCGACTGACGGAGAACGAGAGGTAGCCACAAAGCCCGAGCGAAGAAATCCCAGATACTCCATTTCCTTTACGGCCGAGGTCCTCCCAACCAGTCCAGTGGCCATGTACACAACCAAAGCCCCAAGCACGACACGGGAGACAGGCGGACGGTGCCGCCGAGAAACAGCGCTGCCCCCAAAAGCGCGACCGTCAAAACAAAAGACACGGTGCGGTTTCTCCGCGACGACGACGACGACGACGACGTCCGAACTCGAGAAACAAGAAACAAGCAGCAGAAGTTCATTACGATTTAACGAACACGGCACCAAACAGCGACACTCCCGGTCGGATCCATTTCCGCAAATAGCCGGGCGTTAGGAAACACAAGCGGTCTCTCCCGTCCGACGCTGCCCATACAAACACAAACAACGAACCGATTGGGGCCGATGAAGCGGACAAAGCCAGCGAGAGAGAGGATCGGTGGCACACGGCCGAAATGAGAGGAGAAACGAACAGGCCACAGGGAAAAAGGTGAAAAGCCAGGAAACCTCCGGAGGGAGGATGCCCCGCGTTCGGAGGACTTTTCGCGCCGCGACGACAGCGCTGCTGGCTCTCTCCAAGTCCGCTGCCTCGGCTGAGCGCATTTGAGAAACGCGTCTGCCGGGGCTCGAGAAAGAAGGGACCGCCAACAGTAAAAGCGCGCGGCGACTGTCGGCGGCAGCCGAGGCCGCACATAGATTCCACTTAAACGGGGAAAAGACGGACCGTGGCCAGCGGAGGAAGTGTAAACCGCTCAGTCGTTAATGTCATATCCAGCCGAACGTAATCCTACCTCGGAGAGCCTATGTGCGTCTGGGGCCGTTGTTTATAGAGATGCGCTCGAAGGAGGGCGGTTAAGGTAAGAGCCTGGCATAAACCTATATCCCCTCCCGATGTCCTTTTATGTGGCTGCGCGGTCTGGGCGACGCGATCCTTTGTTCTCCTTTTTGCATTTTTGTTCATGGCAGCGAAAGGGAAAGCGTCAGCCGACTCTGGCCCTCTGATCTGTCTGCAAATAAAAAAAAAAAAAAAAAAAAAAAAAAAAAAATCAAGATAATAATGATAAAAAAAAAAGGAGCTTGACAAAATTGATAGAATACAGATACACAAGGAAACAAAGTTTGGAAGTCTACGGAATATAGGCTTCGACATGAGTAAAGTGTTCTTCTGGAGACAGCGTCTTGCGATGAAGGCAGAACTGTGACCACGGCGCCCAAGATGGCGACAATAAAGAGTTTTTCGCGAAGTCATTTATTCCAGAGCGCGAAACTTGGACCCAGGTGTAATCCATTACTGCTGCGTAATTCGCGTATACCTAATGAATTGCGTGCCCACGGCGATTGCTCTGTCAAAAGTCGCGGTACGGGATTAGGGTCATTCCTCGGGGCCCTTATCGGGCGAGCCGTTTAAACAACACGTCGTCGCTCTCAAAATTCAAGCTTCTTGGGGATTCCGTATTAGTAAAGGCTACACCGCCTCCCAGCATTCTTTCTCAAACAACACGAAACCAAGACCGGGGGAACCGAAAGCAAGGAACCGTGCCCTTCCTGTCCGGGCGTGCGGAGATATGAAACCTGTCTTTTGATCCGCTCGAGAAAAAAGAAAAAAAAAAAAAAGATAAAATGATCAGCTCCTGAGTGGCCCTTTCGCTTCGAATTTCCCCGGCAAGGGACTTCTACAGTTGTAAATTTAGATGCTATCGGAGCCTGCCGACGTTTTCCAGAATGTTGCCACTATCCATCACAGCGCGGGCGATACGGGCCAACGGTGGGGGGGACCCTAAAAAGGGGGCTAACAATCCTCGGTTCGCTCATCATGCAGTCATGGCCCATGCCCGGTGTCGCTGCAGACGCATAAATGAACCCGGTGCAGCCCGCTCGCTCTTTTTATCAGCTGGCGTAATGAGACGGCCAGGAGCAACCATTCTTCATATCGCTGCCTTTGTTTAATGATCGTGGCTCAAACGTCTCCCTTTTTGCCGTTTCGTTCCAGGGTTCGGCGAGATGACATGTCCGAGGATCTAGCAGTGCTGGGCGACCCACAAACTGTCCACCACGGCAGCTAGCGGGGAAGATAGAAATCTGTGCATCAAGGTGGGTACTGCTTCGGAGACTTGTCAACTCGGCGAGTTGTACCTTCGTCTTTCCGTCGCCCCGATGTCATCCTTCTTTGCCGAGCGTAGCTTCAAAACTTCATCGTAGAGATGATTTCTATCTTACGGCGTAAATTTGCCTCTTCTGTTCTTGTGTGTGGTCTTTTAGAGTTGCTTGAGGGCATTTTAAACGAGGGCAAAAAAGAAATATATTACAGAATTACCGTTTTCACGAAACTAAATCAACTAATAAAAAGGTTAAAAAGGACAATCTACTCTTATCCCTCACGCCCATTTTCTTTTATATTTTATTTTTACTGTTCTAATTAAAAAGAGGAAAAGGAGGAGGCATATGCGTCTATATATGCTTGAGATTATAGAGTTTTAGTAATGCGTATATTTGCAAACGCAACCGCTGTGCGTTTGCCCATTATACGCCATACTAAAAAACTAATATTTTACAACTGTTTTACCGTGTCCATCTGCATGAACGATTCGTGAGTGCGAATAGTTTACCCACTTCATCACCTTTACTTCAGTCTACACTCCTACACAAACAAGCGCATGTTGTTCTTCGAGTCGACCGACACGCCAACAACCTCCGGTCAACAAAAGCCTTCCCCTAGCTTCATTCGCACTTAAAGACACTCACGCGTCGTCCCGTCTGTACAATTAAGCAAACTACACTTCCCCGCCAGGCCCGCACACACGCACGACTCACGGCGTCTACAAACAGCCCTAACCGGTCATAATCCGCATTACCTCTATTGCTTCACCCTTTTAGTATTCCGCCGAGGCTGTGCGCGCGAGTCGGGCGTCTCCGTTGTCGGGAGCGGGGGAGACACACACACGCACGCACATGCGACCAGCACTAAGCCAATTGGGGTAATTTCATTTCCTGCCCGTGAGAATGGCAACACCCTCGCTACCAATAACAAAGACGTCAGCCCCCCCAAGGGGGCCGTGAGGCGACTCATGCCCAGGATTGCCTAATGAAATATCCTTTCCAGAAAAAGGGGTCAGACTCCGGCTATCAAGAGATTCCGGGGGGACATCGACGCTTCCTCAAGCAGGAAACGTGTCCGAGCTTTAATCAAGCCGGCATCCGTTGACCGCGCCTGCATATGCTCGATAGCCATTAACCGCGCGCGCGTGGACACGGGTGGTGCTTTTCTGGACAGTGAGAGTTGGTTCGTCGGCTAACCATGCATGCCGGAATTTTTTTATTTTTTTTATTTTTTATTTATGACGTTGCTTAAATGATAGAGTTAAGGCTGGTTCAGACGCTCGCGTTTAAAGAAATGCTGAACCGAAATTTGGATTTTTCAAAATAAGGCCGCAGAAGCGTTGAACTGCACGCTACGAACTCCAGAACATCACTCATACATTGATATCTCAAACGGATGGCCGTATTTTTGCAAAAAAAAAAAAAAAAGGGCGCGATCAAGCCAGGACTATGACGTCACGATCCTCCCGGGACAGTTGAGAATGAGGGGAAGCGGCCTCGCTCCTCTCCTCCTCGCTTTACTTCACCTGCTCGAGGCGAGGTGTTGCTCGGGGGGGGGGGGGGGGGGGGGGGGGGGGGGGGGGGGAAGAGGAGAGAGAATAAAAATCGCGACGTCACACGTCTCCTCGGCCTTGTCGGCCATGATCAATCGCGCGCTTTTTTTTTCTTAAAATACGGCCATCCCTTAGGGATATTGCTGTATAAGTGATGTTTTTTGGGGTTTTGCAACGTCCCGCCGTTTATCGCTCCAGCCTTGTTTTGTGAGCTCCAAACTTTCGGTTCAGTAGCGGCTGCGTTACGACGTCTTGCGTTTCACTACGACGTGTTGCGTATCCCTCAGTGGCTCTAGCATCTCGTCATAAACCACTGCAAGGGGTCGTCACAGTTGATCAGACGCAAACACCGATGTCTGAAGTAGCGTTTATTGTTTGGTTCGCTATTTGAGTTTACTATACGTTAAAGCCAGAAGTCTTGTTTCATATTTGACGCGCTAGTTTTAAATGATGCGATTATGGGTCCTTAACGGGGATCGGTACATTCGGAGACACGGAACGACAGTATTAAATATTTTACGAATTTAATAATTGTGAGCACTAATCGCTCGAGTTGAGATCCTACTCTGAGCGGTGGCACTCTTCTGTTTCACCATATGATAGTATAACATAAATGGACAAGTTTACTCATTTTTCTTCAAATAATATTTTCAGCATAAGTGAGGGGAAGTTGCATATTCATCAAATAGGCAAGTGAAGATTAGGGAGCCTTAGCATTGCGTTACAGTATATTGTATACCGCTACCACCATGTTGGAACGGGGCCGAAAACGTAACACGTCAATACGAAAAAAAAAAGAAAATTTAGCCAATTATTGTTTTATATTGCCGGTTGGCAAAACCTTTCCTTATCACGGTACGCTATAGGTCCGGCTCTGGCATGGCGGTAACGGTAACGGCATTGAGATAACACTATGCTAAAACATTAGGTAATATTTTTTATATATATTTCCAATGTGAATGTTATTCTGTGTTTCTACTGAAGAAACTCCTGCGACCTGTCCTCGTTTCATTTTAATGCGAAGGCATTAATTGTTCCATGGAGCGAACCGACGTTTTCAGCTCTTGAAGCCGCGCCAAACGGCACCTAAATTCCCCTATCCCATGGAGCGAAGCCTGTATTACGTAGCAGCGAGTCCATGGATAAACTCCTTTTGGCTGGCGCGCGTTATAGTTCCAAGGAACGCCACCCCACAGAAAAGCCCTCTCCATGGCGCAGCGGCCCGGCCGCCGGTAGGAGGGACAGGGTGGCCGGGCATCTGCAGAGCGGCCGTGTTTTAAATTTGTCTTTGTTTAAGGTGAGGTGCCACTTCTACAATCAGGAAAAAATTGCTCGCATAGGTATTCTTCAGTTAATTTACGCAACCGAAAATTGACTCTTGAAACAAATTTGGGCTGGTCTGAAACTACCGCGAGGGTCGGAGAAGTCTAACCCTCTTTAGACGGACCGTGAAAAACGGTTTCTTAACGTATCACGCTGCGATTTACTGCAGAGGTGAGGCCAGGTGGTGGAAGTATGTAGTCAAAATGTCATTGGATGAACTTACCATTTAAAAGTGAAAAAAAAAGAAGAATAAACTGTTTTAGGCGATGTACGGCAGCAATTGGCGGAGATTGCACGCCGTCTGCGAAATGCTGCCGACAAATGGCGGAAGCGTCGAGGACGCGCTCGGGCGCGCCGGCGCCGAGCTTAGCAGACGATCTTCCGAAAGTTTTTGGTACGCTTCTTTCAGCGCGGCGCGAGTATCTCAAATGTACACTTTTCAATGTGAGATATTTTCGTCAAATGAACTACATAGAAAAACAAGTGTTTAAATTCCTCAGAGCCCCCCGTTTCGTATACAAAAATGATCGGTGGAAGCGCCACATCCTCTCGTGCCTCACGTTGCGCCATCTGTCGGCACCGTACACAAGTAGCCAGCCCCGCACATGGGCTCCGAGATCCCGCTTCGGGATCTTGGAGGCCATGCCCGTATGGCATCGTCTGCGAAATGGTGCCGCAGATTGCCCAAAACAGGTTCTTTTTTTTTTTTAGTTTCTGAATTATGTAAGTTATTTTTTTTTAATATTTTGACTCCCCACTTCCACCACCTAGCCGCACCTCTGTAATAAATCGCAGCGTGCTACACTGAGAACCCGATGTTTACAGTCCCTTTAAAGTGGGTTAGATTCCTTTGGTTCTCGCAGTAGTATCTCCCAGAAACGTTCGTCTAAATATCTTTTTTCTTGCGTGGGAGCTAATTTTTTTTTTTTTTTTTACATTTTATTTTTTTGACGTTGGGAAATGGCCTTCCTTGGCTGTCCTCGGAATAATCTCGGGGAGTTTCATCTACACGCTTGCCAACGTCTCCGCCATGCTTGGGAGCACCTTTGGAAGTCGTTCTCTGAAGAACCAGCTCCTCTAACTAGTTAGTCACAGTTCCCTGGACAGCTCCTATGGATGCAAATTCAAGAGGCCTTTTCGTAACAGTTTTCATTCTTGGACAAATAAAGAAAAATAAAAGCACGCTGTTCGGGGGAAACCAGGAAATTGCGGAGTTCTAAGCAATTTGTATGTCTGCCAAGAAGTCTTTCATAGATAGCGATGCTGTATTTGCAGGACACTAGCGTAATATTATCAAAAACACATGTCTTTTTTTTTCTACTTTTTCGTCGCAGCTTTAATTTGACAAACGAAACGCCGCAGTTCACTATATTTTTACGTGTTCCAAGATATTCATTTAAATCGCTCGGTCGACTACTTCTAACAAAAAAACATACTTTTTTGTTTTTGTTTTTAATGAGTTTCAAATGTATCGAGGTTCTTTCGATATAGACATTTTCAACAGGGGCGCCGCCATCTTGAATTGTCGTCACTTCCAGTATGGGCGACGACAAAATAGTAAAACGTTTCAACCTGTAACCAGTAAAAAATAGAGGGGAGCCAAAACGAGAATGTTTGACGGTTAGGCTTACCAAAATGTCTTCCATTGGCGTGGCGACGGCAAAGTAATATTTTCGCCCATACTGGAAGTGACGACGATTCAAGATGGCGGCGCCCTTGTGGAAAAGGTCTATAAGACAAGTATTTGGACAAAACAGACCAAATTGTTGAGGTGTTTTATTAACCCGTCAAACTTGTAAGATGTGCCGCCTTTACACTTTAGTAGTTCCTCTTTCGCAAAAGTTCTCTCTCTCTCTCCCCCTCTAAAGGATGTGCTATCCTTCAGGCTTCAGAGCATACAACCGCGCCGTCGCAAAGCGCCCAAATTCCAATGTATCGTTTATTAAAACTGCACCAGCCTATCACGTAACTACAGGCGCTTGGTATTGTTTGCGGACTCGACGTTTCCAAACATTTGAAAACTCGCAGATAGAGCTGCCTAGGGTGGCGTGGTGACCTCGAGGAAAGCCTGCGCAGAGGCTTGTCATTTGTGCATCGCCCCTTACAACGAACAAACGG